GGGGGGGGGGGGGGGGGGGGGTACTTGCAGTGCATTGCTGCACTTGCCCGGCCAGGAAGCGCGGCGGAATGCAGTCAGTCGCGTTCGCGCGGGTGGGGAGAGGGCAATGGACGCGCGCGCGCAGCCCTCCATTCAGTTCATCTCGTTTCCTATTCTTTCTTAGATTATTGCTGGCTGGATGCGTGAAACGATACAACAACGTCACTATTTGGTCTGACTGATGTATTAAATAAATTTTATTGTTAAGTAAATAAAATAGAATAAATGATGTAAGAGTACACTAGGTGGACCGACGATCTGGTGAAGGTCGCGGGAAGTACTTGGATGCAAGCGGCGCAGGACCGGTCTTTGTGGAAATCCTTGGGGGAGGCCTTTGTCCAGCAGTGGACGTCTTTCGGCTGAAACGACGACGACGACGATGTAAGAGAGGCGACCCCAAATAATGGGAAATAGCGATAGGGAAAAGATGAAGAAGAAAATAAATGATGTAAATTTAGGTACCACGCATAATTTTCAAGTAATTTTCTTTATAGTGAAAACTGTCTTGTCAATTTCTTCATGTCCGATTTTTATGAGAATTTCTACAGCTTTCGGCACTGTTAAGATAGATCTATCAGGCTTATAGTCTTGTCTCAAGTCAAGTCCAAAAATTACTTTGGCATAGATCTCTACATAAAGTTGTAGGGGAATAAAGTTTAAAGCAGTTGAATCAAATTACCTGATGGGCGTATTTTCTATAATATCTTGGAAATTGGCAAAATACTTATCTATGCAAATAATAACCTGTACTTTTACTCCACCTTTTGAACATCCAAAAGTATTTGTACCGATAAGTGAAAGTGTTGATTGTTATAATTATCACATCACTAAGTAGTCGCATGAGGCAGCAGTAACAATTTATTTCAATTGGATCTCCATTCGTGGGTATCTACTTGAAGAGATATTGCTAATGCCACACACAAGTATCAAGCCAATAAATAAGCCAAGCCCATAAAATATCCGCGCTTATCTCTCTCTCTTTTTCTTTCTCTTTATCTCTACAAATACAAAAACAAAACAGCAGCGCTAATCCAGCAAATCCAAAAGCAACGTTTACGAAAGGTCGCGCAAGTTCCGTCCACCCGCCGGTACAATACCATCACGCGTGTCTGCGTCCTCGGCGGGCGACTGCACTATACGTACGTCATGCAATGATACGAGCCCGTCATCGCTTTGAGCCGCCCGAGTGCCGCAATTTCTCTCTATGCAAGTAGGTTCGCCATGATTCAAGGTAGATATAAAACAAATTGACCGGAAGTACTGATTAAACCTATGATGATGATGAAAGCACAACATCAATTCTCAGTTAACTTGAATTTAGCGTTTAATTTAAGCGGCAATTTAAGTGTGCAAGTGTCCAAATCAAACGGTAAAAAATGTCGATAGTATTTGGACCACTGATTTCTGGCATTATTAATGTGTACCTATTGAGAAATGAACATGATTGTTTCGAAAATTAAGTAAGCTGTATAAAACTAAGGTGGACATACTCTAGCAATCTTAACACGACATTCTATGCCTTCAACAGTCTATCGTCTGAAGTGGTAATAGAGCCAAGTGATTATTTGGGACATGTGTAGTGCCTGTCATGAAATAAATGGCATTATTGAGCATTATCACTAAAACATTGTGTGGGAAGGTAATAATGTAGAGCTAATAATTTCTCTATCGCACTCATGATTCCGATCAACATAATAACAGTAATATTTCAAATAATTGCTTAATCTACACGTTCTACTCACGTATTGTGGCTAGAGTAGGTAGGATAGGTTATGTTGGTATTAAAATTTACTTCAACACGATCCATTGAAACAATTTAGTTAGGTAATAAACACAAAATAATAATATTATCACCATATTATTGTTTGCTTTTGTCTTTCTACTTCTAGCGTGTGGACTACAAGATGTTCTGTTTTGAGACTTTTATTGGAAATAAAATGCTCAAAGGATTAAAGAAGATAACTTTTTGATTCACTGGAAGGTCAACCATTTCTTCTCATAAATAAAGTACACTTATTGTTCCACACAAACTAGCAAAAAGTTTAAAACTTCAATCTGGTGAAAATTGTTTAAAAATGTAACTAGTCAAAATTTGCAAGGAAAATCCCGTTTCATCCCAACCCATGGGCACCCACGCGCGTTCAGCACGGCACGGGTCGGAATGCAGTCGTTATATGCACACCACTCGAAAGGATTACCCACTAGTTGGTGGCGTGGCGATTAACCCACGCTAGCGGTTCACCCGCGCGGCTATTGGTTTGTTTCCGAACGTACCTAACGCTGAATTCCAATGTTGTTTCAGTTTCCGAATAACTTTAATTAAATCCCAAATCCGAATGCTCTTTACAACGCATCAGCCGTAACCGCAATACTAATTTGACGGTTTGTTTTACAAAACGCATCGCTACGAATGCGTTACGACACGCTCCAAATTCAATCAGCGGACGTTTGACGTAAACTGATACATTATTCACTGATCAAATTGATACGTGCACTATCCTGTGTAATTTTCGCCTCTATGTCAATTTGTTTTAGGTAAATTATCCCAACAGCACAAAAAAGCTCTATTATGTCGTCGATATCTTGGTAAGCAGATGTTCATTTGTTTTGGAATGGAGCCTGAGAAAATGTAGAATAGGGCTCGTTTGAGACAGCTTGAGATCTCGGCGATAGTGCATCGCTGTACGCTAAGTGGCTTGCAGCGCTGCAGCGGTTAAAACGCAAAATCGTGCTCAGTAGCTTGACTTGACTTAGACCGTGTTTTAAGTCTAGCTCTGTTAGACCCCTATGGTAAAACATAACAGGAATTTTGTTTAGGGGCCACTTAAAAATATTAGGGATTGATGGTGAAAACGGGCATGACACTTTTATTGCCTTGTTTTTCAAAAATCTGATTTTTAACGAATTTTTTTGTCTTTTTCTGTAATAGGTACTAAATTTCTGTAATTTTCTTGTTCCAGGTACGTGGATGTTGTTAGAGAAAGTTCACATAGATTTGATTCATTTAACTGCGTAAGTAGCAGATTTATTTTTATTTGCTTTATGTTACAAACGTGCTTGTTATGATAGTTTGTTTGAATACCTCCAACTCCGAGTTCTTAATGAATGGCTTCATAACACCTAGAAGAAGTTCGGGGCCGTCAAAAACTTAAAGCAAACTTCTATTTTTCAACGTCTCAAAATAACGATTTCTTCGCTAGTTAAGATAAAGTAGCGCGGTTCATTAATTTTGCACTGCTACGAGTAAGTACATCTAGATTATAGTGTCACTATAATAATAAGGTTGTCAAGCATTAATATAAGCAGCCTTATTATAGAACAAACTAATTTACCTTTACTTCCAAAATAGTACGTCAGGTGATCTGTCTACTCGATTTTCTCCTGTCCCATAAAACAAAATGTGAAAGCACGTGTGAAAGTTTTGTACAGTTTTCTATGTATTCCTAGAATAGTATTACATTTATTTTAAAACTTTTTCTGGATTATTTTTATTAATATTAAAATTAAATAAGCATTTGCTAATCTAGGTCTCATTATCCTATCTATTGTAGGTTTGTGATAAAAAGTACATAAAATTAAAATTATTCTGACACAGACTGAGTCACTTTGACTACCCTATCTCTCTAGGACAAAACATAAGATGCTAAGCTCCATTTACTCCCGAAAACAGTATTTGTCGTCAATCCTACGTGCATTTGAATAGTGTCACGATTCGGTGTGACTATACGAGAGCTCGAATGAGGTTGAACAAACAGAAGGCTTTTAGAAACCCTCAGGTCGCAGGTAGATCGGTAGTAACCTCAGAGAAAACGATTTAATTTAAATTTTTACCGCGTTCTGACGCGGGAACGTGTGTAGTGAAAAAGTGATAGGAAATAGTATTATGTAGGTATGTATTTCTTAGAAACGACTTCGCAAAATTTACCAACAGAGCCCAGCTAATTTGAAGAAGACTCATGTTAAGCCTAATTTATGTCGGAATTCAAAGGACACATTTAACTTACAATCCAATGAAGCTATATCATAAATTGTGGATAAATCTGAGATCCGGGTAAGGACTTGAGTTATAATACACACATAAGAATAAGTGTAAAGAACTTTGTTTTCTCATAAATTAAATTTATTAAAAATCACGTTTACTAAGAAACTTTGTCTTAATTAACATTCCTGTAACATAGTTACATAGCTTCACTTGAAATATCGAATTACCTTTGTAATTAGGTTGACCTAGTTCAGGCACATGTATAACTTTACCTTTTGTAGCATTAGATTAGCCTAGAGTTTAAACTGTCAAATAAGATATTCAATAAAGAATTTATTAAAAAGAAAAAAAAAATCTTACTAATTTCGCGACCTATAAATACACACACAACTATAGCACAATATTCTCTCACAACTTCACTTTAGTTGTGAATTTATTCCCAACGGATATAACTTGGGAATTATAGATTATTTCACTGACACACTCCTCAACCTGTATTAAACTTTGGTTCCATGAGTTAAAGTCGTAATTTCAATGGCGTGGACATCATAATGCTACAGTCCTCAGGTGTAACAGAGTGAAAAGTTGTGTTCCCCAAAATTCTGTAAGTTAATGTTAAAAAATCATTTTAGAAAATTGAACGCACATTATGGTTTTTTGTTTGAATTTGAGTCTTTTATACCTACATGATTATAATTAAGAAGGGCTAATAAAATACATACAAGCATGTCTTTCTTTAATCTAAATTGATAGTTTTTGATCAACATTCTCATCGTTATTAATTATTTGTTAATAAAATAAATTACTTAAAAGTCGGCTAATAAATGTAAAATCTAGCAAGATTACACATTTTAAGAAAAAACAAATGAAAAACGTAATTTCGGAAAATTAGAAGAAGAAAACAAAAACAAAAGAAAATCACGGAGTTCGAAATTTGAAAGCGCAAAATCCCTACGCTTCATAACTCAAACAAATACATCATACCCGAAACAATTAGGTAAGTAGCCATTGCAGGTATAATCAGGTGTGTTTGCTTTGTGGAGCGCCGCCGCAGCACAGGTGTGGTTTTGGTTGAACTTGTAATACGAGGCTCAAACAGCCTCGTTGCTTTTTACATTATAAAAGACAGTTGCTCTGTGTCGCTTGGGATATTCTGTGTGTACTGGGCCTAAAGTTTTGGTAGCTGAGAATTGGTAATGGCAAGTCGACATTATTAGTAGTAGTGCTGTTGACTCTACTATACCTACAAGAGTTGTATCAGTCGTCTGACATTGCTCATTTGGAATCTTAAGAAGCTCTCCGAAGTAAGAGTAAATTGTGATATCATATAGATAGCAGACAACTCAGTAAAGTCTCGAGTCTTGACCACATTGGAAACAGTACTCGTAACACCAAATTAATTTTATTTAATGAGACAAGTAACATAGTAACGCTATCAACACCTACTGTTATTAGAGCCTTCGTCTTGCAATAAAGCCGCGACTATTCCTCTATCAAAATTACATTTAATTCACACCTCCAAAACAAAACTGACAACTTGATGTCTAATATCCGTTACTGTAACAATCATCGCGTCCCGCGCTTAATATTTAACAATCAATGTCAGGTGAAAAAGTGGATTTACCGAAACAATCGCTCACTCGGATGCCGTAGTTGTTACTCGCGTAAATTACAAACGCAAAAAAACATCAGGCCCGCTCCCCAGTCTAATCAAACACGGCTCTCCCCTTGGAATTCTTAACAAATCACCAGTTGCTTGTAAATCGTGCTTGTCCGAGATTTATTCCGTCTCCGTACCCATATGCTCGTCGGGTGTAAACCGCACTCGCGTAAATTACACGTAGGTATTTGGCAACACTGTTTAAATAGGGGGCGTCTAAATTTGTACCCGTAAGTAGGGGCAATAGAGAAACTTCGCCGGTCTTATGTAATCGAACCCGAAGTCGGCAACAAACTAACTTTTTATCTGTTAACTTTAGAGTATGTTACTGGAGGATTTATTGACAACAACCCGACCGCGCGAAGTTCCGTGTGGACTATGTACGCTTTATGCCCGGCCGTTTTGAATTTTCGAGCATATTTATTCGCTTGTGTTTCCAAAGTTACAGCCCGGGTAGGGATGAATGTCGTTTACCTTACATTTGACTAGATAGCGCTGTAATTTTAAACAACGATTTTAAACTATGGAGTAAAATCTCTCTGTATTAATTAAGCAAATGACTGTCAAAGATGACCGAGTTTCAATCGTCACTTGTTAGATCCTTCAGCCAAATCTTTTATTCGAAAGTATTGCTAATTTATAACGTATTATCACTGAAAATGGCCTAACAACGTAAACGATTTCAGTTTAACCCTCCAATATACTCACGTTCGTACGCTTAACACCCTTAAGCCGCAGTCTTAACAATTCCAACATGTAGAAATAGATAATTCGGCTAATACAAAACTACTTCGTTAGGTAAACGGCAGTCCACTAATCTTGAGTCCCTGAGGTGCGCCGGGTTGATACGGAACCCGTGATTACCCTCTTCAAAACAGTGATTTCCACGCAGCCACTGCATAGTTGGACGCTTTGGGGTTGAGGCACGATTTGGGAACCCCTTTGTGTGCTAATTTAAGATAATGTACTATCGGTAGTACATGCGATAAAATGTGAAGGCAAAAGTTTGTGGTATATGAGAGATCCGATATACTTAGTATTTAACTAAGGCGTCGTTGTCGTCAAAAATCTGGCAAAACCCATACAAAAAACACCGGTTATCGTCATAGTTACGGTCAAAGGTAGGTGGTGCAACTCAGCCTAAATGTTAAGCCCCTTGTCCCCTAAATAATAAAAAGTTACACAGACGTCATTACCATACTAAACGTCACTTTAAAACAGGGACCAACTATGGTGTATCTTTTTATTAATAAGGGAGTATGAATGTGTGATTTTAAAGCCAGCTGAATTCCGAGTTTGGATCTCACTGAAGACAACTGCTAGTGTACAGGAATGATTGATTCAATATTGAACAGGTAAAATATTTTTTAACAAAAATAAGTAGGTAACATAATATTTTGCGCGGAGCTTGCATGCTGTGAGCTGAAACGGGCCTTGCCAATGTTTCCACTTGACCCGGTAACACATAACCATCGATTTATTCCAAGCCTAGCCATGGCTCATCCAAGGTATCTGGATTAGTGTTGCCATCTTTTCCCACAATTTATGTGCCAATGAAATCATTATTAGTTCTTATCTTTTGTGGAAACAATAACAATATCAACATTAATGCTGTCAAACTTAGAACAAGTACCTTTATATTACTTTCGATAAAAGAAAACATGGTGCCTATTTTTCTATAAAAGTCATGAAGATCCAACTTACTTAATACTGTAGTTTTGAGAAATGGGCCCACCTAGTCAGAAGAGTGATTAAATTATCGCCCTTCACTTGAAACTATCCAAATATTGTCAATATTTTCTACTGAAACCTATCAAAACATGTTCTAGGCAATAAAACACGTCGAATCGATTCCACTCGGTACATCGAATGTAATGAAAGTGCGGCGCGCGAGCATTAATCGTCGCAGGTGTCGATGGTCGATAGCCATGGACTTTTAATGATTTTTATCGCACTTTTGTGTTGAATGGCTGTCTTTTGCCACAAAAATAGACAAGAATTTTGCCGCGATATTGTAGTTTTTGTCTGCCATAAAACAATATTTTCCCAGTTTTTTATGATACGGAAAATCTGAAGTCTAATGTTTATGTTCAGTATAATCAAATCAAATTAATAAAAAATCACTGACATGTTTTCCGCATAATATAAGAAATTTCCTAATTTCCTATTTTTAATTAGTATTTTTTCTTAGAAAGTTACAGGCTTGTTAATTATTTATTTATGAATATCGATTGATAAGAATGACAGTATGTGTACATGTGTCATTCTTCTGTCAATATTATGTAATATTTTGAGGAAAAAACAAATTGATAAGGACGTTCGCCTTTCTTTTGCGAGAAATTATATTAATGATATCAAGTGAGAGACATT